ATGCCAACGTGTGAAATGAGTTAAGCTAATTGTACTACGACTGTTTCAGCAGGGGTTGCCCCCAAATTCGCGTAAGCTCAGTGCAACAAGAGCAGCGCATTTGCCATCGTGCAGCAGGTAAAGTTCTGCATACTCAAAAAAATTTATTGACAAGACTAAGATGATTTCAAAATTCATGGATGTTGTCCTAATCACGTTTCGACTTTTTTGGTCCGGGAATTTCTCATTTGAAAATACATCCCCTTTCTGAAAAAAAAGATTTTGCCCAAACTACCTTCCCCGGTTTCAGCCAAAAAACAATAATATTATCGGAATTTAACAGAGTAAAACGCAACACTTGATTCACTGAATTGACTTGTTAGCTATCGGCGGTGGCTGATGACCGTCTTTCGACAACCACGAACTTAGACTCCCACTTCGAGAAAATAAAGCAGATTGATCGACACAACTCAACAAGTCCACTGACAAAGTTCCTCATATTTTACGCAACTTCCTTATCCCTTTTCTAAATGATCTTAATGCTCAAATACACTGAGGTAGCCTCACATCGGCCATCTTCAATATCCAGAGTCATAATTTTAAGACCAACCCTCCACCAGTGTAAAAATGTAAATTCTCTATAGGCCAAGCTACAAACGCGTTTTACTCATTTAAATGACCATAGCAATTTCCCAACGTAACAAGCACACCCAGTGAAGCAAAGTGTAGAAATTGGTTGTGGAGCTGACACCCGGTATAATACAGACCACGAACTGAGAATAAAGCTTGCACGTGTGGTCTGACTTAAGTTCCGCGGCTCCCACCTTGACCATTGGTCATGCCCTCGTTCTTGGCCGCGTTCACAATGGCAGCGACAACCGAAGGATTGCTGAGGATGTTCAGAGTCGCCAAGGCGGTGCTGTCGTCACCCTGGTAGCCACCACCACCTTGACCGTTGGGCCGCTGTCTAATATAGCCACCTCCCTGATTCTGCCCATTCACATGGAAAAGTCGTGGATTTGCATCTGCAAGGCATGATCTATTTCAGTTGAATAGTGTAGAAGCAGTACACACACATGCACCTTCTTCCGTCTTTTTTCGGCTCCTTGTCACCACCTCTTGTCTTCGGCAGACTGATTGGAGCCGCAACGGTTAAAAAACAACGGCTTGACTAGCACAATCACTCCTGTGTAGCTGCTTTATATATCTTTCCCACTGCTTTTCAAGCGTCCGCAGGCACCTGCAAGCCGACCTAGATGGCATTACATAATACAATCAATCAATAAAGGTCGTCTAACAGCATCAACAAGATCGGCATCATCACGGAGCCAAAATTATCTGCAAAGTAGTGTGAACGGCCGATGAACCTATTAGTCTCCTGCCCCATTCATTGTTGTCACATACTACCACTTAGTTTTCTATGTTACGTCTCACCCATCAAAGCAGACGCAAACCTAACCGACGCAGTCATAAAGGTCATAACCTATCTACCTACAGTTAACTCATTGGACGTATTGACAATTATTTTTCACGTATAAGTGGAATAATCAAAGCTAAAAAGCAAAGCAATTGGAAGAGCTCGAATGGGAAAATGCGTACGAAATACAGTGATATTGTTCGACGCCTTGGTTACCAAGTCCACCTAAAATTGCGCACTCGGCCGTAATGCGTCGACCAAATTATCGTTTGACCCTTTTCCCTCCATTCGTTACCACAATCGTCACTGATCGGGTCTTTGATAGGAGGCTTGCAAAATGTAATGTAGATAAATGCAACGCGGCACCCAAGATCTCCTTAAATGGGAAAATCGAAAAATGCTACCGGTGCATTGATAACCCAGTGCCTCGTACCTTGTCAACCAAATTGGAATGATTATGGTTGCAGTTGATCCAGCATCTCCTTACCTGAGCCATACACTACACTACTACTCCTTCCATCAAATTTAATGTAAGTGGTTAAAGGCCACAGAACAAATGTGGATGCGAACGTCAATGACTGGGCATCAGCATAAATCTTGGTCCAATGAAATACGCCCAAGAGCAACGTCCCCAATGGACGCATGGATATGAACCTGGAACACGACAGCAACTAAATTCACTAAGCTGGACACAATGCATAGGTACACCAGATCAGGTGGTAACCCATTTCCTAACTAGCAAACCCACAGGCACGCGTGACACAACCACTCATCTCATCTCCAAAAACGTACCGTAGCATCCACTTCGGTAGTAAGAATGCGTCAGGAGTGAAAATTAGAACCAAAAGCAAAGGTTTACCGTCGACTACCAGCACAACACATTAAGTGAGCAGAATACTGTTGTTGCACAGCCATGAATCAAGACCTCGTCAAGAGGCCTTGGGATTATACTATGCTCCATCATTTTCACTTTACGCCAACCTGATTGGACCACCTCACATCATTGTGAGAGCCTTTGCCCGTGGCGACGCCCACCACATAAATGAAAATATAGGCTGAAGCCTTCCAACACCAATCCACCATTGCTGTATACTTCATCTCAACCCGGCCAGTCATTTTCTGTCCACACAATTTCGAGGCCGTAAACCGACCCCGGAGTGCGGAGGACAAGACGAAAACAATAATTCTCCAAAGAACATTTGCGACCCCCATACATCCTTGAAACCCCATCAACACCAAGCATAAGAACAGCGATAACGACCAGAATGTGTAGATATTGTCCTCCAGTCAACGACTTCAGGGACGTTGATCTCCGTTACGCTTGACCCGACGCATGCACATGCCTCGGAATTTGACGCACGGTAGGAGTGTAATCGACCCAGGCGACCCTTGTACACAATCTCAGAATAAAATGCGCGGCAACATGGCCCGTTGACCGACTGTTTCGATAACGGGTGGCGGTTGCCCCTAAACACTATCGGCCATCACTTGATCCTGCAGATTTACACCTGCACGAACTCCTTCTGGCCATGACTGCCCACACCTTAACTTACTTCGACTATGCCAAAGCTCAAGTGTGTGAACCCACTCCTAGGCAGCAGCGGACACTCCGCGATCGCAAGAGCTCACATCTATTTCGACCCACTCTCGGGGCGACCTTCCCTATACTGCAGCTGAGGTTGACCTCTCATTCTAGGTTTATTACACCTTAAG